GAAGAGGAAGGAGAAAGGAGGCAAGAAAAATTAATTAAAATATTAAGGTTTGGCCACACAGGACTTAATGATACATTATTTGTAATTTAAAAAAAAAGATACAGGATGATGTCATCATTGTGGAGAAATGGAAACAATAGAACATGTATTAGAATGTGGGGCATGTGAAATAGAAAAAAAAAATGAATTAGAAAGCATGAAAGAAAAATTAAATCTCCCAAATATTTTGCTGAAAGATTCTGAAGTAAAAGTATAAACATTTTTATATATGTATATATTTTTTTATTAACACTAGTGACATAATTTAAGGCTGAAATAAATGAAAAGATAAATACGTTTTTCTGTATCAATTTCCATACCGGTAGGTGGCGGTAATGCGCACCTTCAGTTTATCCCCAACTGAAAAATACACTTTAAGAAGCAGAAGAGGGTAAGAGAAGAAAGTGGTATGCGCTGCAGGCAAACCACCCCCGGATTCCAAGAAGTGGCTTAACCCTACTTCTCAGCAGCCAATGGGAAAAAAGCTCACTCACCAGCTCAAAATGGAAAAGTGGCCAAATGGCTTAAAATCAAATGAAATCAACGCGTAGATGACGCGTATTTGACGTGTTTTCAACGCGTAGTTGACGTGCTCTCAACGTGTTAACTACGTGTGGCCAATTAAAAGGCAAAGACAACCGGTTGACAACGCATAAACAAATTTGTGTGTTTTTAAACCAGTCGGCCTTCCATATTTAACGCGCATTAAAAACGCGCGTCTTGCAGTACTATCATGACGGGCGTAAAAGGTGGCACTTGTTGGTAAAAGACGGCGTAAAAAGTGGCGAAATCTCGAAAGAATGCGCGTTTTTTGTGGGTTAATTTCAATCTTAACGTGATAATACAATGCGAAAAGTGGCCTTCTTGGCTTGCCATACTTCTCGAGAAGCAGCGTGTTTGCGGCGCGTCACGCACGCCTGCTGCTCAAGGCGCTGCGGGACCTTTTGCTGCACCTTGACGCGCGTCAACCATTGACTTTGCATGTAAACTTGCTGCACCTGCTGGTGTGAATGCAGCATTATGTGACACTTTTAAGTGGTTATACGGAAATTCACAAGCTTTTCTAGTGGATATACAACGTATACCCGTGTATCACATAGATTCCACCACTGATTTCTAGTGCTAAAAGAAGGTCTCACCTTAGCAGATGATTATCAGATAGTGCAGTTATAAATTTTAAAGAATCTGTTTCACTTTTCTCTCCTCTGTGTCGCTGAGCAGTGCTGGAGATGGCAAAAGCTTAGTTTAAGACCCTTCACAGGTTGATGATTTTGCTGATGGGGTTGCTAGTTCTCAGCTTACTGCTTTGACAATGCAGCCCCCTTGAAAAAGGAAAGTGTTAAAAATAGAAAGCTGGCTTCTTGGTTTAATGAAGAGCTGCACTCTCTGAAGCAATATGCTAGGAAACTGGAGAGAAAATTGAGCTTCACAGGTCTATGGGAATCATACCTAGTGTGAAAAAATAGTTTACTGCTGTATAAGAGGACCCTCTGTAAAGCAAGAGCAGCATATTTCTACTCATTAATAGAGGAGAATAAGAATAATCCTAGATTTCTTTTTAATACAGTTGCCAAACTCACCTAGAGCTATAGCTTAGTTGAACTATTAATTCCACCTGCTGATTTTATGGGATTCTTTATAAATAAAAATGATCTTATTAAAAATAAGAACATTAGCACTCCTCTAGCTGCGATTTTTTTTTATCTCTGGAGGGTGGGACAGCATCTGAGGTAGCCATAGAATCTGAACCTGTTGGGATCTGGAGCTGTACCACCTTCCTCCAGCAGAGTGCGCCGTGGGTCCTCCTGAGCTGAGCCTCCAAAACACCTGTGGTCCATCTCATCATCAGAGGATCCACTGCTATATAACCTGCCTTCAGACCTTGCCTCAACGCCGCAGTGTTGATCTAGTTTGGTTAGCAACCTGAGCCTAGTAACCTGAGAATCTTTGCTATCTCCAGTTGAGATAAGATTCTAACTCTTCCTTGTTTTTGCCTCACAGGAATCCTGTCTCTCCTTGAAGCTCTGGATGAGCTTAACCTGCCTAGCCTGCCCTCGTGAGCCAAACCTGAAGACTCTTCTCTGGATTCCCCTGCAGCTCTTGGCTAAGAGCTGGAAACCAAAACCAAGGTCTGCCCTCAAAGTCAGAAGATGCTGAAGCAGTTATTGGACTCTGCTGAACAAACAGTCTCTGGACCCAACAGTTTCCTCTCTCAAAGAGAAACCCGGACGCCTTCAAGGTATTCCTCAGCAAACTCTAAGACTCATAACTCATCAGTCCATGTGCTAACTGAACTGTAATCCCTGCAGACTCCAGTGAACCTGGCCCCAGGCCCGAACCAGTTCCAGTGCAATATTCTTGTGCTTGTGTAATCAATAAACCTTGTTAAACTTTTCATCAGCCTCCGTTTGTGTTCTGCATATTGGGTTTATTCTGAAACCAATCATGACAGAACCCGGTTTAGACTGCTTTGATCCAGTTGAACTTTCAGAGTAAGGAAAACTATTGTCTTCCTCTAAGCCTTCAACTTGTATGTTAGATCCAGTTCCAACCAGGTTATTTAAGAATCAGAATCAGAAATACTTTAATAATCCTAGAGGGAAATTACTTAATTCAAAAGGTATTCCCTTTGATCTCCTCCTCAATTTTAAATGTGATTAATCTATCTCTGTTACAGGGATATGTACCAAAGGCTTTTAAGGTTGCTGGAATTAAACCTTTGCTTAAGAAACCGTCTCTTGAACCACATGACTTGTTTAATTATAGACCTATATCCAATCTTCCTTTCTTACCTAAAATTCTTGAGAAAGTTGTTGCCAAAGAAGTGTGCAATCACTTACACCATAATGAAGTTATGGTGTAAGTGATTGCACACCTGAGGCCAAACTAAAGATAGTTTCGTGGCCTCACATAATGGACTTCTCTCTGTACTTGTCCTGTTGGATCTCAGGGCTGCATTTAATACAGTTGACCATAGTATTCTCTTAGAACAAAATGAATATTTTGTGTATATATGTAATATATATATATATATATATATTACATATATTACACTACCATCACTACCATTCAAAAGTTTGGGGTCACATTGAAATTTCCTTATTTTTGAAGGAAAAGCACTGTACTTTTCAATGAAGATAACTTTAAACTAGTCTTAACTTTAAAGAAATACACTCTATACAAAATAAATAAATGACTATTCTAGCTGCAAATGTCTGGTTTTTGGTGCAATATCTAAATAGATGTATAGAGGCCCATTTCCAGCAACTATCACTCCAGTGTTCTAATGGTACAACGTGTTTGCTCATCAGCTCAGAAGGCTAATTGATGATTAGAAAACCCTTGCACAATCATTTTCACACACCTTCCTTTGAGCAGATTAAGTTTCTGGAGCATCACATTTGTGGGATCAGTTAAACGCTCAAAATGGCCAGAAACAGAGATTTTTCATCTGAAACTCGACAGTCTATTCTTGTTCTTCGAAATGAAGATTATTCCATGCGAGAAATTGCTAAGAAATTGAAGATTTTCTATAACGGTGTGTACTACTCTCTTCAGAGGACAGCACAAACAGGCTCTAACCAGAGTAGAAAAAGAAGTGGGAGGCGGCGTTGCACCACTGAGCAAGAAGATAAGTATATTAGAGTCTCTAGTTTGAGAAACAGAAGCCTCACAGGCCCCCAACTGGCATCTTCATTAAATAGTACCTGCAAAACACGGAGCTAGATGGGGGGGCCAGGGGTAGCCATGGCCACCCTTAGCCAATCATTTGCCACCCCTGTAGCCACCCCCCCTATAATAAGATGGTGGCAGCAGTAATACTCTCAAGTGGAATATTCAAAACATTTTATTTTTTTGTGGTTAATTATACACATCCCTATACTAACATCAAAGATGATAAGAACAGAATTAATGCTCTTTTCAGTACTAGATTCTGTGTTACAAGGGGTAAAGAGAAAATTATGTGTCTCTGCAAGTCATCAAGGAGTCTTCAGTGAAATCATAGATAAATAACAATTTTGATAAAAACTTACCAAATAATCAATTTACTTGGATATTAGTGCTTGTATATATCAATTATATGCAGAATGTTTATTGATACAAGTAGGTAAGTAATGACAATGGAAAAGATTTACGCCCCAGAATGCAAAACTGAAAGAATAAATAAAAATCATATCGGATTTATAGTCCCCACACTGCAGATATATTAGAATCTGTCCTTAAATTACAGCCAAACCCATTAACACAGTAACAGATAAAAAACTTTAGATAAACCAAACATTCCCACCACATATCTGACTCAATAACCATTAAAATAACTATTTTCATTAATTTCAGACGGAACTATTCACATACTTGTATTATATTAAATTGAACTTCCAATATTCACCACTGTTTAGCACCAAGTACCTTTTTCTTCTGATCACAGAGCAGCCGGCTTGCTTGGTCTCGCAATGAATCCTGGGATAACCAAGGCTACATAGGATACACAGGACCCGTCCTTCAAATCGGGCAAAAAGGAGGGGGCATTTGTTGGCCGCATAACGAGGAGTCTTGGAAACCAACTAGACCTCGGCACCGCACTATGGCATAATCGGCCTACGAATCTTGCCTTTGGAGGACGCATGCCATGAATTCGGATTCAGCCAGAGTGTGGGAGAGATTTAAGTCAGGACTCTCAACATGTAAATAAAACACAAAAAGAAGCATAGAAAAATTAAGGTATTCATAAAACATGCAAAATTGCAAAGAAGGATGTGTTTGTTCTTTGCATAAAATGCCTTTATTTTTAAATTTTCTTGGCAATTATGAGGTCGACTGCGTTCCTGAGCTGTTTGGGAAGAGTCATCTCCTGAGGCAAAAAACCTGAATCAGTTTCTCTGCTCTCAGTGGTTGAACATAAGATACATCTGCACATCTCTTCCAATGCCCAGCATGAGAGCCTCTACCAGTAGGAGAAACTTTCATTTGCATTTAACTTTGATGTTATGAACTGGTTTGTGCACACTTGATTCAGAAGGAAGAGTGGGACATATCATCGCTTTTCTGCTTTTGGTCATGCTCTCTGCTCTCTTTAGGACCACTTTTGGCAAAGGGGGAAGTTTCTCCACTGTAGACTCCTTCACTTTGCCTGGACCCCCCGATTTTGAAGCTGAATGGTTGGATGGCCTCAGTAGAGGAAGAGGGCAAGTGTTTTTAACAGCAAAGCCCTCAACAATCAGGTTGGCTCCCAAATACTGAGGGACATCTACTGCTGCCTGGAGATGAACAGTTACATGTGAAAGAACTTTGAACACCACAAACATAGCTGATTAAGCATATAGCTCGACCTGATCCATACCTGCCTATATATGAGTTCAAAGTCTCCTGTGTTTGCAGAACAATCAACTCTCCAGTCCAGAACCACTCGTAATGTGTCCTCCTGCACAGCAGCACAGAGCTGGGCAGTCACAGAGGTTGAGGGCGCCATTGCTGGGCTAGTGTTGATTTCTATTAACCATGGGTTCAGGCTAAGATCTGAGAAACATATTAGCAAAAATGTTTATGTTTAGAGTGGAAACTTGAATGTGTAGGTTTTTCATGCAAATACAACTCTTATCTATGTACACCAATCAGTGACTATAATTGACAATGTGCCTTAAAATTTAAGTTACTGTTAAAACAGCTTTCATCTGATAGATTTGGCCAATCGCAGGTGAGGATCTAGTGGTCGTGGTGGCATGGCCATCGCTAGCCAATCATTGGCACTCTGTGACCACCTGTACCAGGACATTTGCTGTTCCCTTTTGGGTAATAGGGTATATGCCCTACTCCACTACCTCCTGAACTTCTGCCAGCTCAGACTTAGACTAACATTTATTTATCCTTTGGTATTACTCTTTCAGGAAAATTCTGATATCAGTAGCTTATATAGAATACAAAGGGCAGAGTTAAAGCAAGATGCCATTAAAGATAAAAAATACAACATTCAATATAAACAGAGTGTATATAGTAAAAAAGAGTGTAAAAAATTAAATAGAAATTACTTGGTACTCTAGTTAATCCAGGTGTGTCTGGCCAGACTGAGGCCAGACACCGCTGGATTAATTAATCTGTACAGTGATGAAAAATAGGAAACAAAGGAGCTGGCTGAGTTTTAAGAAGTAGTGGAGTTATGCACATAGTAGCCCATTCGCCACCTCTCGAAAAGACAGTTCTTCTCTGAACCAGAAGGTGGCAGCAGTGATACTATCATGTGTGATTAAAGTTAGTATAGCTACCAAAACAGACAACAAAACTACATAAAGAGTATTAATAATATACCACAATTAAAGATGTCTAAGTCAGAGTTACTGCTACTTTAATAGACATCGGCACTGATGCCCCATTTTGGAAGAAACTTTAGTGTTGTGATGTCTAACCATCACTTCTGTTCCTGTGAGATCATGATGTTATGCCTAACTGATATTATCATACATTGTGGCTGGGATAAAACCAAGAGAAACTAAGTGGTGTATGTCATTTACAGGAGAATTAGGTCTAACAACATGTATCTTAGCAGAAATGCTACAGCTTTTGTTAGTCTTTGCATCATACCTAACATAAAATCAGCACCATACAGCTCAAACGTGTTTTTGCGTGACCCTATCTGATCCTGTACTGTCTGTAATGCGTGGATAATGCTTGTCTTCATTCCTGGGACAGCAACAGTCTCCCAGAGGGCTTCCTTCCCCTGCTCAGCCAGGAAGGCTTTAAGCTGGTCATCCAACCACATGTTGTGTGCTGGAATGTTCCAATGCCGTTGTTGAGAGGGCCTCAAGTGCCTCTGGATGGAGTTATTGCATAAGTGCACCGAGCTGCAGAATAAAAAAAATGCAACAAAAAATAATAAAAAGGGGGCCAAGATAAAATTAAAGGCTGTACATGACCCAAAAGGGCAAACTCATAAAGTTGGGTGAACAGTACATTTTTAAAGTTTTATTCTTAGACTCGATTAAAAGAACTAACGTCTCAAAAACAAGATTGAGTCAAAACTCTGATGTTGTTTAGGGGATACAACAGGATGCACAAATACGCAACAAAGTCCCAACTTTATTCAGTCTGACAATAGATCAGTAATCCTGACAGAGCATATTCATTCAGACTATATTAAATCCAAGACAATATGAACTCCTCCATTTATCTTATCATGAAAGGATTCAGTTAAAGGGTTGAATACTTTTCCTTTCAGTCTGCTGGGTTGTGTGAAACCATCAAACTCTCCATTCTAAATGGGTTTGCTCCCTGAGAATTAGCAGGTGAAGACACTGTACCCAAAGGATCATAGAGACCTGTCGCTACACTGTGGGAAAATTATGTTTTTCTTCGTTCGCCTCTACACCTGCCTTGTTTAGACTGACGGGAACACAGGTGCAGAATACAGCAGTGCAGATGTAATAAGATTGTACACTACCATTTAAAAGTTTGGGGTCACCCAAACAATTTTGTGTTTTCCTGAAAAATCACACTTATTCACCACCATACGTTGTGAAATGAATACAAAATTGAGTCAAGACATTGACAAGGTTAGAAATAATGATTTGCATTTGAAATAAGATTTTTTTTACATCAAACTTTTCTTTCGTCAAAGAATCCTCCATTTGCAGCACCTTTGGCATTCTAGCTGTTAATTTGTTTAGGGTAATCTGGAGAAATTGCACCCCACACTTCAGAAAGCAGCTCCCACAAGTTGGATTGGTTGGATGGGCACTTCTTGCGTTCCATACGGTCAAGCTGCTCCCACAACAGCTCAATGGGGTTCAGATCTGGTGACTGCACTGGCCACTCCATTACCGATAGAATACCAGCTGCCTGCTTCTGCTATAAATAGTTCTTGCACAATTTGGAGGTGTGTTTAGGGTCATTGTCCTGTTGTAGGATGAAATTGGCTCTAATCAAGCGCTATCCACTGGGTATGGCATGGCGTTGCAAAATGGAGTGATAGCCTTCCTTATTGAGAATCCCTTTTACCCGGTACAAATCTCCCACCTTACCAGCACCAAAGCAACCCCAGACCATCACATTACCTCCACCATGCTTAACAGATGGCGTCAGGCATTCTTCCAGCATCTTTTCATTTGTTTTTTGTGTCTCACAAACGTTCTTCTTTGTGATCCAAACTTGGATTCATCCGTTCACAACACTTTTTTCCAGTCTTCCTCTGTCCAATGTCTGTGTTCTTTTGCCCATCTTAATCTTTTTCTTTTATTGGCCAGTCTCAGATATGGCTTTTTCTTTGCCACTCTGCCCTGAAGCCCAGAATCCCGCAGCCGCCTATTCACTGTAGATGTTGACACTGGTGTTTTGCGGGTACTATTTAATGAAGATGCCAGTTGGGGACCTGTGAGGCGTCTGCTTCTCAAACTAGAGACTCTAATGTACTTATCTTCTTGCTCAGTTGTGCAACGCCGCCTCCCACTTCTTTTTCTACTCTTGTTAGAGCCTGTTTGTGCTGTCCTATGAAGGGAGTAGTACACACAGTTGTAGGAAATCTTCAATTTCTTGGCAATTTCTCGCATGGAATAGCCTTCATTTCTAAGAACAAGAATAGACTGTCGAGTTTCAGGTGAAAGTTCTCTTTTTCTGGCCATTTTGAGCGTTTAACTGACCCCACAAATATGATGCTCCAGAAACTCAATCTGCTCAAAGGAAGGTCAGTTTTGTAGCTTCTGTAACGAGCTAAACTGTTTTCAGATGTGTGAACATGATTGCACAAGGGTTTTCTAATCATCAATTATCCTTCTGAGCCAATGAGCAAACACATTGTTCCATTAGAACACTGGAGTGATAGTTGCTGGAAATGGGCCTCTATACACCTATGTATATTGCACAAAAAAACAGACATTTGCAGCTAGAATAGTCATTTACCACATTAGCAATGTATAGAGTGTATTTCTTTGAAGTTAAAACTAGTTTAAAGTTATCTACTTTGAAAAGTATAGTGCTTTTCCTTCAAAAATAAGGACATTTCAATGTGACCCCAAACTTTTGAATGGTAGTGTAGAAAATTCAGAATTTGTGTAAATCAAAACAATGTATTAAGCATAATAGAATAAATCATACAGAAAGAGGGAAAACTGTACAATCGCTAGAACTAGAACTCAACACAACATTTTCCAGGTCTTGTGTTAACTAAGAAGCTGAGTCGTCACTGTGTTCCTGTGATGCCTGATAGTCACCAGGGTGAGGGGGTTGGTAAAGAATTCACATATCCTTTGTATTTCTCTGATATTATATGTTATGAACATGTGGTACATTTTCCTAAAAGGTCTAGGTTAACAGTGAAGGAGCAGCAGACACCAACATCTCAGGTGGAAAAATCAAGAGGAGAAGAGAAAGTTCTACTTCTAACAAATCTGGCCTAAATGGAAGAAGGGAAGACAAAAATACCTTTGTTCATAGAAAACAAAGGGAAATCTAACTGTCAGTTTTTCAAACCGGAATTAATGGAGTAATTTCAAAGAATACTCTGGTCATCAGACTAGTTATTCAAAGAAAGATGGACAAAAATGTCAGTCTCTATATGTGCAAAGCTGCTAGATAAATCAACGGAATTTGCATTTTTTTATTTCAGTGAAAGGTATCCCACAAAAATATAACTTAGGATGTCCTAAATACAAATAAACAACTTTCAGATCACAATTTATTTAAAATGGTAAAATTTGGACTTTGTGTTTATCCTTCATAAACTTTTGTATGTATTTCTCAAGATGAAATAAAAAACTGGCTGCAGAAGTGAAGGATATGGAAAACACAGATTTCTATATATCCTGTGGTGAAACATTTTTAGGTTAGGCACAGATGTAAAACCAAATCTCTCTCCAAAACATCATATGCAAAGGGCTCATTCTAGGGCTGCAACAACGAATTGATAAAACCGATAAAAATCGACTTTTAAAAGCGTTGGCAACGAATTTCATCATCGATTAGTTGTGTCGCGCGATTAATGCGTCATCCGCCGCCCTCATCACATCCACTTGACTGAAACGGGGGAAGAAAAAAAAATACGGCAGAGCGAGTGAGCGCCGCAGGTGCAGTGTTGCCAACTCACGGACTTTTCAGACCCCTCCAGCGA